AATGCTAAAAGAGAAGGGATTGCAGTGTGGCTGCTGCCCCCCGCCCTGGGGTGGGCGTCCACACCCCACGCCCCCATCATCTCTTTCTAATAAGCACACACACCTTTTAAAAACAAAACAAAATGGCAACTTCTCTTCTGGAAGGAAGGAAAGTTCAGAATAAGATTTGGGGTGAGAGGGCAATAGTGCAGTAAAAAGACTGGGCTCCTGGATTTGAGTCCTGGACTTCCATAATAGCTCAAATACCAGTTTTCTCATATGGGAATATAGTATGTACCTCAAGGTAGTTTTAGAATAAAATATAGAACTTCATGCTGTGATCATTAATTAGTTTGTGATGGTAGTGATTGTAATTTAAAGCAAAAACTCATATGAAAGTTCATTTCTACCAAAATACAGTCCTGTGTTCCTAGAGACAAACTGGTATATATGCTTATGTTAGATAAATATCCATTGCTGGAAAGCTTTCTTGGAAAAAAAGTATTAAGACTGATTTGTAAAAGTTAATTTAATGGCTACCTCACAAATAACAACTTATGATTCTAGGCAGTTTTTAGGTGCCATGGTTACTTAACAATCACTTTTGGGCAGTTACCAGTGTAACATGTATTGTGAAAATTCTAGGACATAGAGTAGTACTCCCTGAGCCACAAAGGGATATGTTTCAAGACCCCTAATGGAAGCCTGAAACTACAGATAGTACCAAATCCTATGTATACTATGGTTTTTTTTATATAGTACATACCTATGATAAAGTTTAATTTATAAATTAGGCACAGATATTAGTAATAATAGCTAATAAAATAGAACATTTATAACAATGTACTGTAGTAACAGGTGACTGTGGTCCCTTTCTCTCACTGAATATTTTACTTTCTGTTACTGTATAGTCCTCATTTTCAGACCGTGGCTGGCTACAGACCAGACAGTGAAGTTATGCATAAGGGCAGGAAGAGGTGATGGAGCCATTATATAGAAAAGTAATATCATTCACCTACAATTCATCCTGATGTGGCTCCCTTTAAAATCTGGGCATAATTTTTGTCTTGAGATTGCAAATATGTATATGCAAGTATGCAACCGTTTTTTCAACTGTAAATAAACATTCCTGTTACTAAAAATGCAAGCCTGCTCAACAGTGGATCCCTAAATAACAGTTAAAAGGGAAAAGTTGTATCTCAAAGCGTTTGATAAAAACAGTACATTAATAAAATTATACAAATTCCAAGGTAGCTAGGAACAGAAACTTGAGATGTACACATTGTTAACTACCAAAAGACATATAATAAGGAAGCTAAAGCATTGTCATTGAATTGAAAAG